CCCCCTGGTACCGCGTGGCTACAGAAGATCCTCCTTCTCATTGGGCAGCTGGACTAGAGGGTTCAAGTTCTGATTGGTGGTCTCTGCATTTAACCCTCCTTTCCTCTTTAAGCGCCGCGGAGACCTGTGCCTTCCACTTGCCTATTTCTTGCAGGTTGCCGGCCGTGTACGCTATTTCGGGAAGCGTTTGGCTTTCCGCACGCTGAACCTGAGGGTTGGCGTTCTCGTTAGTCTTCTCTCTTCCGTCCTGCAGTTTCCAGGACTACAGAGAGGGACTAGCTCCGCTGAATGATGCAAGACACTGACTCCAGCAATGGGACCCAACCTGTTGTCTGTTTCTCCCCCAGCAGCCTGTGACCCCTGAGGGCACGGACCAAGCTTGATTCCTGTGTCTAACCTTCCCAGGGCGGGACCAATGAGGGCTATGACCTAGTCAGATTCTTCTGTCTGCCCACCGGACTGTGACCAATGAGAGCAGGGACCTGTCCTGATTCCTGTCTTCCCCAGCTGACTCTGACCCTCAGGGCAGGGAGCTGGTCTGGTTACTGTGTTTACCACATATGGGTCCCAGAGGGCTGGGACAAGTTTTCATTCTTTGTGTGACCTTAAAGCAGCATATGATTAGTTTCGTTTTTTTGTGTTTTTTTTTAAAATATATTTTATTGATTTTCTACAGAGAGGAAGGGAGAGGAATAGAGGCTTAGAAATATTGATGAGAGAGAAACATCGATCAGCAGCCTCCTGCGCACCCCCTACTGGGGATGTGCCTGCAACCAAGGTACATGCCCTTGACCCCGGGACCCTTCAGTCCGCAGGCTGACGCCCTATCCACTGAGCCAAACCAGTTAGGGTGATTAGTTTCGGTTTTAATCCAGTTTCATAAGTCTAGTACCTGGTCAATTTAGTCCATTTGCATTTTTTTGTGATAATAAACCATTTGGATTTGATTTTTATCATCTCATTCTGTGCTTTCTGTTTGTTCAGGTTTTTCTCTTCCTTTTTTCTTCTTTCTACTTATCCACACACAGCCATCAGCCTACAAAGACATGGCCACCCATGCTAGCCCCTTGCACCCATACTGGCCTCGGCACCTGAGACTGGACAACTTTGTGCCTAATGACTACCCTGCCTGGCATATAATAGCTGGCCTCTTCTCCGTCACTGGGGTCGTACTTGGGATCACATGGCTGTTGTCAGGACCTGCTGCCATCGTCCCCCTGGGAACCTGGCGACGACTGTCACTGTGTTGGTTTGCAATGTGTGGGTTCATTCACTTGGTGATTGAGGGCTGGTTCAGCCTCTACAGCAAGGAACTTCTTGGAGACCAAGCCTTCTTGTCCCAACTCTGTGAGTCCTGAGTTCTTTCATATGCTGTGGGAGGGAATTTTTTGGGCAGGGATTGGCTAACAGCTTTTCTTCTATTAATTTATTTTAAATTTTTATTTAACTATTTGTCGCATATATATTCACGAGTCAAAAAAAACAACACAAAAACATTTAAAGAGGTATGCAGCCTGGCCAAGTGTTGAGCTATGAACCAGGAGGTCACAGTTCGATTCCCGGTCAGGGCATGTGCCTGGGTTGTGGGCTCAATTCCCACTGTGAGGCGTGCACGAGGCAGCAGATCAATGATTTTCTCTCATCATTGATGTTTCTATCTCTCCCTTCCTCTCTGAAATCAAAAATAAATAAGATAAATAAAGAGGTATGCAGTGTGCCCTGACCAGCATGAGTGGTTAGAGCATCAGCCCGTGCATCAAAGGGTTCAGTTCCAGGTCAAGGGCACAAACATAGGTTGCAGGTTCAATACCCCACCCTGGTCAGGGTGTGTGCAGGAGGCAACCAATTGATAAGTCTCTCTCACATTGATGTTTCTCTCTCCCATCTTCTTCCCTCCCTCCCATTCCCTCTGAAAAGCAATGGAAAATATATCCTCAGGTGAGGTTTAACAAATGGTAAAAAGAAGCATGCACTGAAAATCTACCTTCTGTCCACCAAGTTTCCTCAATTATTAACCACTGTTAATAATTGCTTGTTTTCTTCCAGGGTTTATTTACACATAAATTATACACAGAAGTCTCAGTTTGCTCAATTGTAAAAGAGAGATAATAGTAATCCCCAAATATATGTAAGGCATTTAGAACAATGTTTGGCAAGCAATAGATGCCATGTAACTGTTTATTACTATTATTATTTGGCAGACAACAGATGCTATATAAATGTTTATTATCATCATCATTTTTATTTTTCCCTTTTATATAAACCAATGGTAATTTGCTATATACACTTCTGAACTTTGCTTCTTTTAATCAGGTCACTCCTTAGCTCTTAAAGAGCTTTCAGAGCTTAAATGTTACAGAATTATTTGACTTGTCTAGTATTTTTTTAAATATATTTTTATTGATTTCAGATAGGAAGGGAGAGAGAGAGAGAGAGAGACAGAAAGATCAATGATGAGAGATAATCACTGATGGGCTGCCTCCTGCACACCCGCACTGGGGATTGAGCTGGCAACCCAGGCACCTGCCCTTCCCCTGACCAGGAATCGAACTGTGACCTACTGGTTCATAGGTCCATGCTCAACCACTGAGCCACGCTGGCCAGGCTTGACTTGTCTAGTATTAATGAGCATTTCTCCCAGTATTTTGCTGTTATAAGTAATACTCCTTTTGGTCTCATGAATAAAACTGCTATGAACATTGTTATAAGAATCTTTGTGTGGGGCTCTGCTTTCATTTCTCTCGGGTAACTATGGGGGAGTGGCTGGGTTGTATAGTAGATGTGTGTTTAACTTTATGAAAAACTGCCAAACTGTTTTCAAAAATGGCTGCATCATTTTATATTCCCACCAGCAGTATATGAGAGTTCTACATCCTCGCTGACATTTGGTATGCTCAGGTGTTTCTTTTTTAAAAAAATATATTTTGCCGAAACCGGTTTGGCTCAGTGGATAGAGCGTCGGTTTGCGGACTGAAAGGGCATGTATCTGGGTTGCGGGCACATCCCCAGTAGGAGATGTGCAGGAGGCAGCTGATCGATGTTTCTCTCTCATCGATGTTTCTAACTCTATCTCTCTCTGTCTCTCTCCCTTCCTCTACCTCCTTGTACATGTCCTTGACCGGAATCGAACCTGGGACCCTTCAGTCCGCAGGCCGACGCTCTATCCACCGAGCCAAACCGGCCAGGGCATGGTCAGGTGTTTCTTAAATTGTAGATCTTCTAGTGCAGTGATCGGCACACCGTGGCTCCCAAGCCACATGCGGCTCTATGGCCCCTTGAGTGTGGCTTTTCCACAAAATACCACGTGCGGGCTCGCACGTACAGTGCGATTGAAACTTCGTGGCCCATGGGCAGAAGTCGGTATTTTGTGGAAGAGCCACACTCACGGGGCCAAAGAGCCGCATGTGGCTTGCGAGCCGAGGTTTGCCGACCACAGTTCTATGTGAGTTCTATCTTATTGTGGGGTTTTAATTTGCTTTTACTTAACGATTAATGAAAGTTTGAGCACCTTTCATTTGTGTATTGACCATTTGGAAATCCTCTTTAGTGAAGAACCTACTCCAGTTTCCTGCCTGTTTTTGTCATGTGATCTGCCTTTTTCTTATTGATTCTCTGCTCGCGTTTTTCATTCATTCATTTGTTCACTTTCTCTCTCAGTCCTTTCCTTCTTCCCTCCCTCCCTCCTTCTCTCTCTCCCCGCTCTCTCTCTTTCTCATTGGCTACGTCATTCACTTCATCATCTATACCTGCCTCCATTATTCTACAGATATTTATTGAATGCCAGACAATCACAGCAGCACTTACTGTTCTATGTCAGGTTTGCACACATATCTTGCATACATATATTAACTCTAAAATCCAAACGGCCACCTCATTGCGGATGAGGAGTTGGAGGCATGGAGAGGTTATGAAACCTGCCTTATTAAATGACCCTCAGCTCTCACAAGTGTGAGTTTCTTTTCCTGCCTTTATTCATGTGTGTCTCTTGTCTTCTTCAGGG